GCAGTGTTATATGTACCCAACCAAACTCTTCTTCCTTTAAATGGATCGCGAATTTCTGCAGCCCATTTGCCCCACTTACGCTGCCGCACACCTCTGCATTTCCCTGGAATGGAGCTTGGATTTATGCCCAAAATCCTTTTCCTTTTGGGATTATTTGCAGCATTGCTACTATCCTGAACTGAATTTTCTATTTCAGGATCTTCAGGCAGGCAAAAAGAGTCCCCAGTTGGAAAACAAATTTCATGAACAATATGCTTGACCTTCTTTGCACTGATTCCCTCGTCTTCTGATGAGTCGGTAGCATCCGGGTCACCACAGATGATCCGGACTTTCTTCATGGGTCTTGTGGGTTCTCCCTGGTTTCTTAGTTTTTTCCCTACAGTTTCTTGATTCACCTGAACTAGTGTCCGAAGCCCTGTCATCTTAATCTTGCTTTAAAATCACCAACACCCTCAATGAAAATCTAAGTAAAATGATTCAAGAATATCAAAATTGAAAAGGTGTCAAGTAAGAGGGCATTTAAAGAAGAAGAAAAAAGTTGATAATCGATTTATGTGAAATCCTCCAAAACACTCCACCCCTGAACAAGTCCTGCAACACATAAACAAATTACCGCAATCCATTTCAGATCATCACTCAAAACCCACAAAATTGCACAAAAAGATCGTGAAGATTTAAGGGTGAAGTAGTACCTTTTAAGCCTCAAACGCATCGAAACTGCTGGAATGAAAAGATGACGACTCTGCTGGAGTGCACAGCAGAGGTATTGTTGCATGCAGAAAACAGAGGAAGAAGTACAGGAACAGAGCTTCAATTGAGCCCCAAACAAAACAGACAAATCAGACCTTGCCGACATAAATCTCTTGCCTCCAGAACTCTCAGAAGCAACCCTTCATTTGAAAAAGGCACAACCAAGAAACAAGAAAAAGGATCAGATAAACCTATTCATAGATAATAAGAAAATCCCTTCGTAGAATAAGAATCTACGATTATGAACTTCCCGCATAAACAGTAAAAAGATCAATCTATGTAACAAAAATTTGCTGAATTAATCGTGATATTACCTCTTTTATGACTTTCCAATGCCACTAGAAAAGTAACTGATATAGAGAGCGGTTGAGCGTGTATAGAATGCAAAAACGGTATACTACGAAAAAATATGCTGTCTTTTCTTTTACAACAACAATTGGCTGACCAAAATACCAAAAATCTCAAGGAACAGCAAAATACAGAGAAATTCAAGCGTCACATGAAAGACATAAACAAATGATAATTTTTTGGACAGAAAACTGTAAGTAAATACCTGATTTGCTTCTCTCTCTGTAACTTTCAGCTGCTTGATTATTCTTGGAGTTCTGTTCTCTCCGTTAATGGCTAGTGGCGTTCAATGTGTAAAAGAACGAAGAGGTGGCGGAGTATTGTGTGTAAAAGTATTTACACAGTGCCGAAATAAACGTTGGTTAATGGCAAGGGGCGGAGCTTAAAGGACTTTTGGACCCAATTGCTTGTGACTTTTTTTTTGTTTATTATTATTTTTTTCACCACAGTCGACAACCACTAACCCACATTTCTGTAAGTCATAAGGTTGTCCTCATTCGCCAAACGGAGCTTGAGTTGCTTGGGCATCATCATTGTCACTACCAACAACTGTCATCCAACAAGATGGGATTCCCCTCCTCCATTGTTTAGCACGATAGAAGAAATCAAGATAAAGACAGGGTGTTTACCCTTATTCTTTCCAGTTTTGTGATTCAATCAAGTCTTTTGCAGTTTAAGATTTAAAATAAGCTATTTGAGTCTTTTATTTTTGCTTGTCGTTTCCCGAGTTCTGTGTAAAGCAGTGTTGATCCATATGATATTTATCGGAAAATGGGGGAAGTAGTCATCGTTGTAAGCAGCAACATAATTTTTTTCTGGTTGAATAATCATATTGAAATTTGAAAGATAGAACTGGAAATAAGCTTGATCTGTGCCACAATTATTGTCAATCCAGTTGAACCATAGTTGTTGGACATGTTCAAACTAATGATCTTTGTATTCATTTCTATTAAGAGGATCACCTCTTGCATTCCAATGCCATCTCTCCACACGACAATGGATAAGAGAGGTAGATTTGGACATGAGTTTGACATTTGCTTTTTGACAATTGTAGCAGTTAGTGAACTTCGTAAAAAGAGTCAACCCGGCCTTTATTGCCGGCTAGCAACGATAAGTATGTGGAAAGACTTCTTCATATCCTTTATAATATATAAGATTCGGTGTCCAACATGTACTCTCCAATTTTATTTGAATTTCAATTGGGGGTCACTATAGTTTCTCATGACATGAATTGCCTTGCTCCTGTTTTAAAACTTCCATTTTCCTGTAATCAAAATTCGACGTTGATTAAATGGTGTCCGCACTGAAGAATATTCCTGGCTCCGCCCTTATTAATGGCGTCATGGTCAATTATGTAATGACCATGCTAATGCCATTGGGTAGATCGAGTTAGTGGGAAAATTATATTACTGGTCCCTCTACTATTTGCTGAATTAGCATCCTAGTCCAAAACCTCTATAAATGAGTGAATCAATCTTCAATCTTATACTTCCACAAATGGATTCCAATAATGAATATTGTCGAATGTCTAATTTTTAGTATGGTACTCTCGAAAATACGTCTCACTTCAATTTTCTATCCGAACATGTTAAGGTTAGGTGACCAATAAAAAATTGTCCCTTCATGAGATGGTTGATTCAAGGTATATGATTTTAGAGCCATATTCAAATATTACGTTATATGCCACTCAAAAACTTGGTTACCAAGTTATACAATTCATTTTCATTTTCTTTATTTGGTGTGTAGACATGCTTCTCTTTCTTTCTTTTTGGATTTGTTGTTCATACGGCGCAGATCGTGGAGGATTTAAAAATATTCAAATTAAAGAAAAATTAAAATTCATAATCTGATTCTATCTTTTGACTAAAAATAATAATAATAATAATACACCCCTTTATGTGAATCACATTTGAGAATTTTTAAAAGAAATTACTTAACCACCAAGTACGGAAACATGATAAAGATACACACGATTGAGTCGGACAATAGGGTGGATTCTTACGGTTTTAAATAATATCTTATTAAAGCTTATGTTTGGTAGTTAAAATTTAAATTAAAGTTAGCTACTAATTTAAATTGTTCATAATGAAAATGTACATAATGAATTATATAATATGATGTGGAGGAAAGATATTTGATGAAAAAATGGATTGTACTTTAAAATTTAAACTGACAAATGGTAGTGTCATGTGACATTATGTAATCAATTACACAAATATTGACATACATATAGCAAGATTCTTGCAAATATCATGTATGAATGGAACATAAAGGAGGCTTAGTGAAAATACATGTACATCATCTTCTACATTATTTTTTGAATTTGGCTCCAAGTACAGAAGCAAAATTCAGAGGGGCTTGTCAGGCCACTGACACGGCGGGCCCCACATGTTTTTTTTTTAAAAAAATACACCTCTCAATGTACAGTGAGTGACCTGGCAGTGACCCCTCCCCCTCGAGGTTCTGTACGTGTAGTATCACTGTTATTTTTTTACATTGTTCTAGCTTTTATACGATAATACATCATTAGACAACTTAAATTTTTATCAATTTTTCATTCAAATCAACACTTGCCAAGAAAAGAGCAAGTGGCATTTTCCTTACATGTAATATGTTAGGTACAGATTGGAAAAAGTGAAAGTTTGAGTACACAAATAGGTGGGTGGACCGAGGAAAGTGCTTTCTCTTCCCACAAATGGAAGCTACGTGGAACCCCACTGCCAGTGCCTTTTCCGCCAAGTTTTGACTAGACCAATTTAAGTTTTGACTCATTTTCAATCATGTATTTTTTCATTAAATAATATTACACGTAAAAAAAATATTCTTTATTTTGTAGTCACACATTTTCCAAAAAAAAATTATTATTTCAAAACTTATTTTTTCCCAAATTTCCATTAAAATGGGCCCAAATTAGGGCTATGACTTGTGTTTGATATCCATTTTTCTTTAAACCCCCGTTTGTTGCACATTTTGAATATAAGAATGCATTTTTACTGTCGATATGATGGGGAATATGTAGTTGAAAAAAAGAAAAATTGTTGATACGATGAAAAATATTCTTTTATTGAAGAACGTGTGATGAAAAATGAGTAGAAGAATGAGAATGAAGAAAATAATGTGGAGCAAATAGTAATTTTTAAGAAAGCGTGATTAAAAAATAATGAAAATTTTTAAATTTACACACAAAATTATTTTATTGGAGAAATTTATTTGACAACCATTCATTCAAAACTTTTTTTTTCTCATACTCATTTTTAATTGCACATTTTTACAATAAAATATTTTTCATGTAAAATAAAAAAAAATTCTTACTTTTTAATCATACGTTCTCCAAAATTTTATTATTTAAAAACTTATTGTTTCTAGAAGAATTTCGTCACAAGGGGCCAAATAGTATGTGTGACAGTTTATCTCGCCAAAATTTTGAGGCCGATTTTTGGTCCTGAGGTTTGAGCTAGACATGGTGAGCAATCTATTGACTACTGTTTTCAATCGATGCTGTGGCCTACAAATTTAAGATTTCAAGTCCATGCATAAGATTTTTACTAGGTACAAGCAACGTGCAATGTACGTTTACCTAGTTTATATTTAATAGTTTTGTTTAAGAATTAATTTGTTATTAATAAAGATGTAATTTTTTTGGTTAATTAAATAATTAATGATGTAATGTTTATGTAATTGATAAATAATTAGATGTGTGATTTTGATGTTATG